ATGTCAATGTATGGCAAAAACCACTACAATATTGTAAAATAATTAGCTTTCAACTAATAAAAATAAATGAAAAAATAAAAAAATTAAATTAAATTAAATTTAAAAAAAAAAGAAAAATAACTTGGATAATACAGCCACTCAGAGCCTCAGAGTGGTCTGCTTCTCTGTACTCTTGCCTGGAGGGCCCCACGGACAGAGGAGCCTGGCAGGCCGCCGTCCCTGGGGTTGCAGAGAGTCGGACACGACTGAGTGACTGGCGCTTTCACATGGAGCTGAGAGGACTTCCGTGGAAGCTCAGCAGTGGAGAATCTGCCAGTCGAGCAGGAGGTGCGGGCTCAGTCCCTGGGCTGGGAAGAACCTCTGAAGAAGGGAATGGCAGCCCACTCCAGTATTCTTGCCTGGGAAATCCCACGGACCAAGGAGCCTGGCGGGCTGCAGTCCAAGGGTCTCAGAGTCGGACATGACTGAGTGACTAAAGTGACGTGGAAGTGAAAGTTGCTCAGTCGTCTCCGACTCTTTGCGACCCCATGGACTACACGGTCCAAGGAACTCTCCAGGCCAGAACACTGGAGTGGGTGGCCATTCCCTTCTCTAGGGGATCTTCCCAACCTAGGGATCGAACCCAGGTCTCCTGTATTGCAGGCGGATTCTTTACAACAAAATGGAACTGGGAAAGTTATCTCCCCTCTCTGTGGCTGAATTTCCACATCTGTGAAACGGGGATGACAATAAAACCTCCCTCATGGTATTACTGTGATTAAGTAAGTCAATAAGAAAAGTGTTACATGAAAGTATCCCAAATGTTAGCCAAGGTTGGTATTACTATTGTTGTTCTCATCCTAACAGTGGTTACATCAATGCCAGCGCTCCATTGCTCTGTGTGAAGGAACATCAGATTCGGATTGTTACCGGGTTGAATATCCATAAGATTTTTTAAAGTTCTTTATTTTGGCTGCTCTGGGCCCCCATCACTGCCTGCAGGTATTCTCTAGCTGCAGTGGGCGGAGGCTACCCTTGCTGCAGCGCCCGAGGGCTTCTCTTGGTGCCCAGGCTCTGGGCATCAGTAGCTGTGGGGTTGGCCTTAGTTGCCCCATGGCAGGTGGGATGTTCCCAGACCAGGGGTCGAACCTGTGTCCCCTGCATTGACAGGAGAATTCTTAACCACGGGCCCCCAGGAAAGTCCTCCACAGCATCTGTTATTGGATAAATCGGTCATTTATTCAGTCATTCAGGAAGGAAACCCATGTCCGAGTCTGGGATCTGGCCTGACCCCTGAATCCATAGGTGGCATGCAGGAACAAGCAGGAGACCCCGGAAGAAGGGCCCTTACCCTCCCAGGAACCTGTGGAGGCCGGGCCGGTGGCTCTGCCCGTGCCTGTGGAATCAGCCCGACTTCCCTGCTCTGTGGAGCCCAGCAGGGAAGCGAGTGTTCTTAAGGGGACTGAGGGGAAAGGATGACGATAGCTTTGGCTTGAATCTGAGGCTGTTCCAAGAGAAAATAACAGTGTTGGTAACTTCCCCTTCCTGCTTGAGCACTTTGGTGAAGTGCCTTACCCTGAATTAAACTGGAGTAAGAAAAAGCTAGTCCCATGCCAGCGTACAGACCCACAGGCCCACTTGGCCATGGATCTCCAGCGCACAAGACTTCTCTGAGAGGAGAACTGGGCAGGCGGGCCAGACGGCAATATCAGGATTTCCCTCTGCTGTGGAAAAAAGGAAAAAGACCTCCAGTCATCTCAGTCAGACATGTTTTGAGGTATTCTTCCCAAATCCTGTATCTTTCTCCTCAGTCTCTTCTTCCTCCTTCTCATCTTTTAAAAAAAATATTGTGGTAACATATACATATAAATTGCACCATATTGACCCTTCTGAAGTGTGGAGCTCAGGCACATGGATGGCACCATCCACCTCCAGAAGTTCTCCAGTTTCCGAGGCTGTCCCCACGGAACACCTCCCCCAGCCTCTTCGGATGGCTGCCCTGCTGTCCGTGTTTCTGTGGGTCTGGCTGCTCTGGGTCTCTCATAGGAATGGCATCTCACAATAGCTTTGTGATTGGATCATTTCACTTAGCACAGTGTCTCAATGGTGGTTGCTGCCTGTGTCTGAATTTCCTCCTTTTTAAAGACTGGTAATGTTTCATTGTACGGGCCATATTTTGTTATCCACTTATCTGTTGATGGACACTTAGGTTGCATCCGCCTTTTGGCTATTGTGAGCAAGTACGCCTATGAACATGGGTGTACAAATGTCTGTTTGAACCCCTGATTTCAATTCATCTGGCTATATACCCAGAAGTGGAATTGCTCGATCATGGGGTAAATCTGTGTTTAATTGTTTGAGGAGTGCCACACTGTGTTCTTTGGCGGTTACACTATTTTGTTTTCCCACTAACTATACACAATGGTCCAATTCCCCCACACCTTCACCAGTGTTTATTTTCTGTTTTTTATTTTTAAATAATGGCCATATCAGTGGGTATAGAGTGGCATCTCAGTGTGACTTTGATTTGCATTTCCTTAGTGACGCTGAGCTTCTTCTCATCAGTTTATTGACCTTCTGTATATCTTCTTTGAAGGAATGTCCATATATTCAAGTCCTTCACTCATTTTTAACTTGAAATGTTCAGTATTTTATTGTTGAGTTGTAAAAGTTCTTTATATATTTTTAATATTAACCCCTTATCAGAAATAAGGTTTAAAAGTACTTGCTCCTGTTTCACGGGCTGCCCTTTCATTTACTAACATTACCACAGTTTCTTTTTCCCCCTCCTTTAGCCATGCTGCGTGACTTATGGGACCTTGGTTCTCTGACCAGGGGTTGAACATAGACCCTCAGCAGTGGGAGCACTGAGCCCTAAGCACTGGCCCCCCAGGAAATTCCCCAGTTGGACTTTTAAAGTGTTTTTATTTATTGTAGTCACTGATACGGTTGGATTTAAGTCTAACACCTTACTATTTTGTTTTCTATTTGGTTGTTTGTACTTTTTTTCCTCTTTTCATGCTTTCTTTTGGATTGTTTCTAGATTCTATTTTCTCTCTACTGGCTTATCATCAATGTCTGCCTTCCTTTTTTTTTTTGATGGAGTATAGAGTTCACAACGTGCACCTTTAACATCAGTTTGCTCTCAAATCGTAACAAACCACGTCATATGGACCCTACAAACCACACAGTGGCTGTACTTCCATCTCTCCCCGGAGGTCCTTCAAGTAGTTGTTGCCGTTCACTTTACTTCAGTACACCCCACAAGGCAGTGTTATTCCAGTCAGTCCCCTACATGTAAATGAGTTCCATTCTGAGAGTGCATTCCTAAGTCCAATTTGTAGGTCTAACAGAGCTAGCCTAAGTCCCGGACTAACACAACTGGCTATACAATTCTGTGCTGTAACCGATTTAGAATAGTTTTCCCACAAATGATGCATAGAAACAAACACAAAAAGTAGAAGCCATCGTAAGCCTCCTGGGAGAGCGCCGTAAGAGGCCGGAGGCGCAGCGCAGCCTCCGGCACCGGGGGCTGGCATCGGTGAACTGGAGGAGGAGGCGTGGGCCGCGGGGCGGTCCGCGACGGGGCCGCGGGGCAGTGTGCCCGGACACACGGGCTCACTCACCTGATCGTCACGCGGCCGGACGTGCGAACGCACCTACCCATCTTTCAAAGTTCTCACCTTGAGAGTTCCTATGTAGGGGGGCCACCGTATTTTTTTTCCCCTTAAATGTTCAATTGTTTTTAAAGAAAATTTTTAATTAGGGAGAAATTTTTTAAAATTTACACTTGCACTCACCACTTCAGTGTTCTTCCCTTTGTGTAGATTCAAGCTTCCAAGTGATACCACTTTCCTTCAGCCTGAAAAGCTTCCTTTAACATTCCTTTCAGGGTAGGTCTCCTGGATGAAAAGGCTGATTTGGCTTCCTTTTATTTTTTTAACTTTTCTGTGTATTCTGTCTTTATTGGAGGATAATTGCTTATTGTGCTGGCCTCTGCCGTGCGCCAACGTGACTCAGCCTCAAGGCCATGCTCTTCCCTCTGTGTGGTTCAGCCTCCGTGGTTTCTTTTGTGATTTCTTCAAATTTACTGATCTTTTTTTCTGTAGTGTCCAATCTTCTGTTAACCTTATTCTGTGAGTTTTTAACTTCTCTTGCTTCTATAGAAATTCCATTCAGTTCTCTTTTTACAGTTTGCATTTCCTATTTCAGTATGATCATCTTTCCCTTTGATTTCATAAACATATTAATATGAGCTATTGTAAAGGTTTTGTTTGATGATTCTATTATTGCTGTTATTTCTGGGTCTGTTTCTAATGATTAATTTTATCCTGATTATGAATCGTATCTTCATGCTTCCCTTAAATGAAAAGGGAGAATTAAGGTTTAAGAATTAAATTTTGCTAACTAGGTAACTTTGGAACTGTGGTGCTGGAGACGACTTTTGAGAGTCCCTTGGGCAACAAGGAGATCAAACCAGTCCATCCTAAAGGAAAAAAACCCTGAATATTCATTAGAAGGACTGATTCTGAAGCTGAGGCTCCAATACTTTGGCCACCTGATGCAAAGAACTGACTCCCTGGAAAAGACCCTGATGCTGGGAAAGACTGAAGGCAGGAGGAGAAGGGGACGACAGAGGATGAGATGGTTGGATGGCATCACCGACTCGATGGACATGAATCTGAGCACACTGCAGGAGACAATGAAGGGCAGTCTAGCCTGGCGTGCTGCCCCTGGGGTCACAAAGAGTTGGACATGACTTAGCAACTGAACAACAACAATTGGCTGACTTTAAAAACAGGAAGATTATCCTGGAATATCCAAGTGGGCTCAAGGGTCTTTAGAAGCAGAAGAGGGAGGCAGAAGGGAGAACCAGGGAGACGGAGTGTGAGAAAGACTCAGCTCAGTGTCCTGGCTTTGAAGAGGGAGGAAGGGGTCAAGGGAAGTGGGGGTGCCTAGGAGGCCAAAGAGGAAAGATATGGATTCCTCCCCGGACCCTCCAGAAAGCATCTGGATCTTACCCCGGTGAGATCTGTGCTGCACTTCTGATCCACAGAACTGTAAGCTAATTTGTGCTGCTTTAAACCACCACATTTAGAGTAGTTTGTTACAGCACTCTGTAGACGGCCAAGGCAGTGGTCAGCGAGATTTCTCCACACCGACTGGGTGAAACTGACCCGCTTCCCAGATAACCGTGAATGCCGACAGGCTTTCTGTTTATCACCCCCCGGTGGTTCTTTCACCTTGTTTTGTTTCCCTTTCCTCAGGGATGATAGTCCTGCTGTCCAATGTCTGAAAATAATTGTATCATATATTTTGTCCAGTTGACTAGTTGTTTATGGCAGGGAAAACAGATAGTACTGATTATTCCAACATGACTAGAGGCAGAAATAATGTGTTCAGCACTGCATATTGAGAAACAAACTTACATAGCCTAACTTTAAAAAAAAAAAGACTTCTTTAGGTAGAGAACTGAAGACCCAGCTCAGTATCATGCAGCCAGATTACAGCACTGCCTTCTTTCAGACCTGGCAGCCACTGCTGAGGATGAAGGGGGTTCTCTGTATCTTGTGGTGAAATTACAGTTTTCCACATGTTAAAATATTAACTGAATTTTCTTGTCCTTAGTACCTTCTTCTCATAGACCCACAAACAAACTTCTGTATACCCTGGGCTCTCACAGAAGCCTCCTTAGCCTCACATACCTATAAGCAGCATGGAAATGCTGAGACTTGTACCAACGGAAGGAACCCTGCAGCCTAGAATGAGTGGACACTCCCCACTTCAGTTCAGTCCCTCAGTCGTGTCCGACTCTTTGCGACCCCACGGACTGCAGCACTCCAGGCCTCCCTGTCCATCACCATCTCCCAGAGTGGCTCAAACTCAGGTCCATTGAGTCAGTGATGCCATCCAACCATCTCATCCTCTGTCATCCCCTTCTCTTCCCACCTTCAATCTTTCCCAGCATCAGGGTCTTTTCCAATGAGTCAGTTCTTCACATCAGGTGGCCAAAGTATTGGAGTTTCAGCTTCAGCCTTGGTCCTTCCAGTGAACACTCAGGACTGATCTCCTTTACAATGGACTGGTTGGATCTCCTTGCAGTCCAGGGACTCTCAAGAGTCTTCTCCAACACCACAGTTCAAAAGCATCGATTCTCTGGCGCTCAGCTTTCGTCACAGTCCAACTCTCACATCCATACATGACCACAGGAAAAACCATCACCTTGACTAGATGGACCTTTGTTGGCAAAGTAATGTCTCTGCTTTTTAATATGCTGTCATTGTGTCAATATGTCCCAGTGTTTCTCATGATGTACTCTGCATATAAGTTAAATAAGCAGAGTGACAAAATATAACCTTAACATACTCCATTCCCCTATTTGGAACCAGTCTGTTGTTCCATGTCCAGTTCTAACTGTTACTTCCTGACCTGCATATAGATTTCTCAGGAGGCAGGTAAGGTCATAACTTTTCTTCCAAGAAGCAAGTGTCTTTCATTTCATGACTGCAGTCACCATCTGCAGTCATTTTGGAGCCCCCAAAATTAAGTCTGTCACTGTTCCCATTGTTTCCCCATCTATTTGCCATGAAGTGATGGGACCGGATGTCATGATCTTGGTTTTCTGAGTATTGAGCTTTAAGCCAACTTTTCCACTGTCCTCTTTCACTTTCATCAAGAGGCTCTTTAGTTCTTCTTCACTTTCTGCCATAAGGGTGGTATCATTGCATATCTGAGGTTATTGATATTTCCCCCAGCAATCTTGATTCCAGCTTGTGTTTCATCCAGCCCTGCATTTCGCATGATGTACTCTGCATATAAGTTAAAATAAGCAGGGTGACAATATACAGCCTTGACGTAATCCTTTTCCTATTTGGAACCAGTCTGTTGTCCCATGTCCAGTTCTAACTGTTGCTTCCTGACCTGCATACAGATTTCTCAAGAGGCAGGTCAGGTGGTCTGGCATTCCCATCTCTTTCAGAATTTTCCACAGTTTATTGTGATCCACACAGTCAAAGGCTTTGGCTTAGTCAATAAAGCAGAAATAGATGTTTTTCTGGAACTCTCTTGCTTTTTCTATGATCCAATGGATGTTGGCAATTTGATCTCGGGTTCCTCTGTCTTTTCTAAATCCAGCTCGAACATCTGGAAGTTCACGGTTCATGTAGCCTGACTTGGAGAATTTTGAGCATTACTTTGCTAGTATGTAGCTCCCTGGTTAGCTGACAGTTAAATCCCAAACAGAAATGAGAATGCCTGCATCCAAGGATGATGCAGAAGACCAGATGGCCATCCCCACAACCCAGAACTTAGATGCAACTCTAAAACACATTAGGAAAACCCCAAATAAGCTAAAATTCCTTTTCTGCTATGCCAGAGGCATGGAAACTCAAGAAAATTAAAGAAAGTCACCCTTTCGATGCCCTGAAATCAATACCCAAGATATTGCCTGAGCAAGCAAGACATTTTCATAAAAAGAGAAGCATAGACACCAGCTAGAAGATACATGGAGTAAATATGCTGTGTCGCAGAAACTTTCTATTGACGTTCAAGGCCTTTGCAGTCTGCAGAGGTGGAGAGGACATCATGAATGTCCAGTGATCTTGTAATATTAACTGACCATATTGGTTAAGGTGATACACAGTGCCTAACCAGCTGATTACTATAGGTGGCACTAGTGGTAAAGAATCCTCCTGTCAAGGCAGGAGACGCAAGAGATGTGGGTTAGATCCCTGGGTCAGCAAGGTCCCCTGGGGTAGGAAATGACAACCCGCTCCAGTATTCTTGCCTGGAAAAACTCCATGGATAGAGGAGTCTAGAGGGCTACAGTCCATGAGGCCGCAAAGAGTCAGACAGGACTGAGCAGGCACACACACACACCCACACCCCAATTTAAAAGCCTAAGCAGTTACTCTCTCCTCGCATCTGTAACAGTTTGACACTAGTGACCCTTGTTGCTGGCTGACTTCCTCCAGACATTCAGGGATCCAGGACACAAGGCGTGCGGTGCGAGGTGGGGCGCTGTAACCGCACAGAGAGCTCCTAATGGAGTGGGTCGTTCTCTTCCCGCCGGTCACGTGCTTCCCACGTGCCAGGCGCCGAGCCGATACTCACTATGCCATCCTCACGACAGCACTGTGTGCAGAAGCTGAGGCCTGGAAAGGCCCATGCTGAGTGAGTCAGACTCTGCATCACTCTGCTCTCCACCAGGCTCTTGATTTACGCCAACGTTGTACTCCCGAGAGGTGACAGTTAATTCAGAAACATGTAGAGCAAAACTGAATTTTCTCACCAGGAATGAAGGGAGAGAAATGCAAGAGAAATGCTCTGGTAGATTGCAAAAGACTCTGGTCATGTAAATGTTTTTTTGCTATATTGCATTAATATGAACAGTAAATAAGCAGTTTATGGGGAAAATTGAATATATTAAAATTTATTCATGGAATAACAAGAAAAAAATAGCCACTGATTAATGGAGCACTGGCCAATATAGCCTGTAAATTGTGAGTCTGCAAGGCTCCATTTTCTACATTATGAGAATTCTAATGTGTGAAGTTTCTCATCACATTAGTGGTGTTCTGAACCAAACGCTCCTGTACTCTTGGTGGTTCTGCTTATAATTTTTCTTAGCACTTTCATCAGAGAGCAGCCGCATACAACTGAAGCCTCTGACAATAGTAATTAATAATAACAATAGTCAAGAGCAAACTCTCACCGAGCCCTGTGCAGACACTGTTCTAAACGCATGCACTGATTCATTTATCCTTTATGTTCACGCAATAGGACAGGCTCTTCCATATCTCCATTTTATAGATGAGAGCGCCGAGGCCCTGGGAGATTGACTTCCTTACGATGGTTGCTTTCACATGTCAACTTGCTTGGGCCATAGTGCCCAGATATTTGGTCAAACATTATTCTGGATGTTTCTATGAGGGTGTTTTGGGATGAGATTTACATTTAGATCAGCAAAGCAGATTGCCCTCCATAGTGCTGGGTGAGCCTCACCCAATCAGTTGAAGGCCTGGAAAGACCAGAATGCTGACCTCACTCTGAGCAGGAAGAAAGTCTGCCAGCAGACTGCCTGTGGCCTCCATCTGCGGCACCGGCTCTTCCTGCTTCACTGACAGGCTGCCTTTGGACTTGATGTGTGGCTCTTCCCTTTGTCCCCAGCCCATTGGCCTTCCCCACCAGATTTAGGACTTGCCAACCCTCCACAATCACACCAGTCAATTCCTTAGAAAAATCTCTTCCTATCAGTTCACATCCTGTTGGTTCTGTTTCTCTGGAGAACCCCAGCTGATACACTTGCTTAAGGTTATATTCCCAGTAAATGGTAGACCTGGCTTTCAACCCTACAGTCTGGTACTGGGGTCCATACTCTTTTTTTTTTTTTTTTCTGACTGCATTTGGTCTTAATTGCAGCACACGAGACCTTCGTTGCAGCTCACAAGCTTCTCTCTAGCTGTGGCCTTCGGGCTCTAGAGTGTGTGGGCTCAGTTGCCCCACCGCATGGGGAATCTTGGTTCCCTGATCAGGGCTCAAACCAATGTCCCCTGCATTGGAGGGCAGATTCTTAACCACTGGCCCACCAGGGAAGTCGCCTGGAATCCATGCTCTTGATGGGAGCTGTTCTGTTAGCCCTTATCAGTGCAGGTGGTAACCTCCTGTTTTAGGCTAATAGTGATAGCTTTCCCTCACGTCTTCCTATTAACTGGTCATACTGGTTAAGATAATGCAAATTGCCTAGGAAGCTAGCTGCCATAATAAACAAGCCCCAGCTTCCGGAGGCCAACCACAGTAGACCCTTACTTCTTACATCAGCAGCAGCTTGACAGGACCCATTCTGGTTGCGAGGTGACCCTCCTTCACATGCTCATCCAGGGACCCAGCTGCTAGAGGCTCTGTCATCTTCAACACTGGAGCTTCCAAGGTCACCCTGGGGCTTGACTTCGTTCCAGCTAGCCAGAAAGGGAAAGGAGCATGGTAGATCATGCATGAGAATTTTTATAATCACTGTTGCTAAGGAATTTTTTGTTAAAATAATTAGGCAAGCAGTTTAAATTCTGTTATTCCAAAATTATTTTATGTGCATGTGTTACTCATTTATTGTTCATGTTAA